CCTCCTCCTCCTCCTCCTCCTCCTCCTCCTCCTCCTCCTCCTCCTCGATACAGCCACCGGAAAAAAAACAACCAAGCTCAGAGACTACCAAGGACCGCACTATTAGTAACTAACACTAACGAATAGCTTTTCCTTTTGACAAGCTCCTTCAAAGAAGGACAAGATCAACCCACAATAAATAAACATAAACAGGGACTACCCTATTATGCTGCTGTCTTGCATTTCAGTTTGCCCATCAAGGCAAATTGGTGAGCATTTGTGCAATCTTTGACAGATGAAAGGGGTTGGCACCCGTGCCTCGGTTGTGCTCAGGAGGCAGAATTGGAAAAGAATATATCATTTCCCTGCTTCTCATTAAGGAAAAAAAAAATCATTTATCTTTCTTTTTTCCTCTCTTTTTTCCCCCTCTTGGCTGGGCTCCACTCAAGCAATTTTTGAGTTTTGCTAACTGCTTTTGGCAGAGGCGGGAGACACAGATGTTCCTCTTTGCATGTTTCTGTAAGCATGGAGTGTAATGTAGCATGAGGGATAAAATGCACCGTGTCACAATCCACATTTCTTTCGGATATCATTTCAAAGAAAGAAAAGCATTATTTCAAAGGATGGCTACGTAAAGTGTTTCCCCCCCCCTTTGTGCGTTCAGTGGAAATTGATCAGGGTGAAATTAAATATCATTGTTTCATTGACATGAGTGTATCGGAACAGAATCACATCAATTAAACAGAATCACAGAGTAACAGAGTTGGAAGGGCCTTAGAGGTCTTCTAGTCTAACCCCCTGCTTAAGCAGGAGACCCTATACCAGTGGTGGAGAACCTATGGCACGGGTGCCAGAGGCGGCACTCAGAGCCCTCTCTGTGGGCACCCGCGCCGTCGCCCCAGTCCTAGGCCTTCAGCTGGGTTTTATAAAATCTTTTTGCTTTAGGCCTCCGCCGCCATGTGCAAAAAAAAAAAAAAGGTTCAATCAATCAGTCAATTTCAACTTCTCGTGGGAAAAAAAAAGATCTTGCAAAGTTGGAATTGATTGATTGAACTTTTTAGTCCCACCCAGTCTGCCGTTACCACTGCAGCCACGTCCACCCAATGGGCCACGCCCACCCGTCACCCGACGATGCATAAGTGGGTTTTGGGTTGCAGTTTGGGCACTCAGTCTCTAAAAGGTTCGCCATCACTGCCCTATACTATTTCACACAAATGATTGTCCAATCTCTTAAAAACCTCCAGGGTTAGACCACCCACAACTTCCAGAGGCAAGCCGTTCTGCTAGTTAATCACTTTTAGGAAATATCTCCTTAATTTTAGGTTGGATCTCTCTTTGATAAGCTTCCATCCGTTACCATTTGTCAAAAGAAAAATAGAGAAACACAATGGCAGGAGCAGAAGAAATGCTACTTTATGGCACCTTATTTAAAAATAACTCAGGGAACTTAAGGAGAATGCCACTCGTGGGTAAGAATAACAAAGACGTTTAAGTCCACAACCAACCGTCTTGGAAATGAAAGCAAAACAACAGATGTGGAAGGGACCTTAGAGATCTTCTAGTCCAACCCCTTACTCAAGCAGGAGATCCGACCTATAGCATTTCAGACAAATGGCCGTCCAATCTCTTCTTAAAAACCTGCAGGGATGGAGCACCCACAACATCTGGAGGCAAGCCGTTCCACTGGTTAATTGTTCGAATGAAACATCTGGAAGAAAACAAGCAAGCTCAGAGAGCACCAAGGACCCCTTAATGGTTCTAATTGTCAGGAAATTTCTCCTAGATTGGCTCTTTCCTGGATTGGCTTCATCCATCCATGCTTAATCTAGGGCAGGGTTGCAGGGAGCAATGCCAAGGTAGTGTCAATAGTAGAAGAGATGCTTTTTTAGGGGGTGGATTAGCCTTTTATCTCCCCCCCCCACCTGAGATCCTCTTTGCATGCTTCCAAGTGGCAGATTGCAAAACAAGGGTAGCAGTTTTGCATTACTCTCTGGCATACAAGTTTGAAATGAGGCCAAGCTCTGCATGAAATTAGCTCACGGTTGCAGGGGTTAGTGGTTAGAATGCAGTATTGCAGGCTAACTCTGCCGATTGCCAGGGGTTCGATCCCTACCGGCTCAAGGTTGACTCAGCCTTCCATCCTTCCGAGGTCGGTAAAATGAGGACCCGGATTGTTGGGTGGGGGCAATAGGCTGACTCCGTAAACCGCTTAGAGAGGGCTGTAAAGCACTGTGAAGCAGTATATAAGCCTAAGTGCTATTGCTATGAAGAGCTGTGGTGGCGCAGTGGTTAGAAAGCAGCATTGCAGGCTGATTCTGCCGACTGCCAGCAGTTCGATCCTGACCAGCTCAAGATTGACTCAGCCTTCCATCCTTCCGAGGTTGGTAAACTGAGGACCCAGATTGTTGGGGGGGGGCAATAGGCTGACTCCGTAAACCGCTTAGACAGGGCTGTAAAGCACTGTGAAGCAGTATATAAGCCTAAGTGCTATCGCTATTGCTATGTCTGATCTAAAAGTATATTGCAGATTGGACTGCCGCCAAACTCCTGTTGATTTGATAACAGAGTGGGAAGGGACCTTGGAGATCTTCTAGTCCAGTGTTTCTCAACCTTGACAATTTTAAGGCATGTGGACTTCAACTCCCAGAATTCCACAGCCAACATTGCTGGCTGTGGAATTCTGGGAGTTGAAGTCCACATGCCTTAAAATTGTCAAGGTTGAGAAACACTGTTCTAGTCCAACTTCCTGCTCAAGCAGGACACCGTATCCCATTTCAGACCAATGACCATCCAATTTCTTTTTTTTAAAACCTCCAGTGTTAGAACACCCACAGCTTCTGGAGGCAGAAGCTTTCCACTGATTAATTGTTCTCACTCTCAGGAAATTTCTAATAATAATAATAATAATAATAATAATAATAATA